ATACATATATATATATGTGTGTGTGTGTGTGTGTGTGTGCGCGCTATTGAAAAAATTATCATTTTAACAAATTGGCTATAAAATATAAGTATTATTTTAAATAATTAACTTTGTTAATTTTTAGAATTGTTAATTTTATACTTAAATTTTTATCATTATATTATGAGAGTATAAATTTTTACTTATTTCTTTTGATAATATTTTATTTTTTTTTAATGCAACTCTGTTGTATATTAAATGTATAATAAATTAAATATTCTATTAAATTTTGAAAAAGTCGTATATATTAAATAAATATATAATATATCATAAAAAATATCTTCTAAAATTTAAAATAATATTAAAAATACTTTTACATTATTATTAATTATTCATATTTTTTCTTTCACAATGATTTTTTTTTTCATTCTTTGTTGCACAATTATATTTTCTTCAAACACTCATGTAATTGACGAGCGTTATACTAGTATGCAATAATGGTGGTTAGTGTTTTGAATATGGCAATGTATATTTGGCAAATATGTATGATAAGTTTATTTATATACGTTGATAGATTTGTTATTTATTATAATAACCTAATTTAGATCTTAAATCATGAAACTGTGGTGAGTATATATTTAAAAAACAATTCACAAAATATACACATATCATAAGTTGAGTTTTTTATAATATCCCCCTATATATTAATACAGAACGCGCTGAGCCTACGTGGCTGCTTCTGGTGCTTCGAAATCCTATGTGGCAAAATTACATGCTTCGTTATTAGGCTTGGGTAAATTTTAATTTAATTCCAAACAAAAAATAATTAGGTTCGGATTACCATAAATATGTTGATTATTTATGGTCATGTTACATGTATTAATTGTATTTTATAACCATTCTTTATTATAACTATTGAATTGTATGTATATTTTAAAAGTTAATAACTTTTGTATTTTTTATCAGTTTTACATATGTAGTATATCAAATTAATCTTCTTTTCATGAGCTTCGATTTAACATCCATATTGTATGTATAAAAAAAAAATAATTTATATTT